AAATTACCCCAGCAACGTTAAACCAGCTCTCCTCAAAATTTGGCGGCGCCCCATTGAGACGAGTGAGTCACAGATCCCCCCAAATCCCCAAAAATCCCCAGAATCCCCCAAAAATCCCCCCAAAGCCCCCCCAAAGCCCCCCCGATCCCCCCTCACGGGCGTTGCTGTCAGCCAGGCTGTTGAGGCTGCTGGAAATGTCTCGCCGCCGGAACAAACAAACCACCTTGGCCTCCACGTTGCCATTGGCGGTCTGGGGGGGGACACAGGGGGTCAGGGGAGCCCCCCCAGCCTTGGGGACCCCCCCCCCAGGGTTTGGGGACCCCCCCCCAGGATCAGGGTGGGGGGTCTCACCTTGTTGAGCTCCTCGATTCGCCGCACCAGGTAAGGGTTGCTGGAGGAGTTCTCGAAGTAAACGTAGTCTGGAAAAAAAGGAGGTGAAAATGGGGGGGGTCGTGAGGGGAAAAACCCCCCCAAAAATCCCTTTTTTGGAACGTGTCAGGATCCCTTTTCTTTCCTCCCTCCCAAAATTTGGGAGGTTTTCACAGCCAGATGTTCCCCTCATGGGAATTATCCCAAAGGACCCCCCCTCAATTTTCCTCCCCACCCCCCCATTACAGACCAGGGGTCTCCCCCTCACAGATGGGGGTGCAGGACCCCAACCCCCCCAAAAAAATTTGGGTTTCCTCTCCTGGGGTTCTCCCTCTGATCCGAGGGCTCCCCTTTTTCCCTTTAGATTTTTTTTTTTTTTTTTTTTTTTTTTTGGGGGGGGGGGCGTCTCCCACCTCCACACCTCAGGAATTGGGGTCTCCCCCCCCGTGGACCCCTAAAAATCCCCTCCTCATTTCTGGGCCCTCCTTTTCCTCACACACCCCTAAATCCCCTCCAAGCGGCCCCCGCTTTCCGGGACCCCCCAAATCTCCTCAGGGTCCCCCCGGAGCCCTCAGGGTCCCCTTGGCCGTCCGTGCCGGCCCCGTCGCGGCTCCCGGCGCCCCCCAGCCCGCTCACCGCCGACGCGGTACATGTTGGCCGCCATGGCCGCTCGCTCGGCCGCGCTACCCCCGGGCCCGGCCCCGGCCGCGCTTCATCGCCGCTCCCGCCGCCTCCGCGCCGGCACGGCCGGTTCGGAGCCCTTCGGGCACCTCCGGAGAGGCTTCGGGCACCCCCGGAGACGTTCGGCAACCTCCGGCAAGGCCTCTCGGGCACCTCCGGAAAGGGTTTGGGCAACTCCGGAGAGGCTCGGGCACCGCCGGATTCGTTCGGGCACCTCCGCCACGGGCTCGGCGCCGCCTCGGGCGCTTCCGCAGCCGCCTCGGCAGTCGTCGGCCCGGCTTCGGGGAAGCCTCGGCTCGGCCTCGGCTCTTTCCGGCACTCCTCGGCTCAACCTCGGCTCTTTCCGTGAGGCGCTCGGCGAGTTCCGTCAGAACCGGAAATGCCCCGAGGGCGGGGAGGAGGAAGAACCCGCGGCGCTTCCGGGAAGCGGCGGCGATTCCGGCGCGGAGAAATCGGCGGGGCCCAACCCTGACCCCAAGGCTTTTATTGACGCCTCTGTCACAGTGCAGCGCGAAAAAACGCGGCGGGGAGGAAGGCTTGAACCAACCCCTGAGCCGCTCTTTGGTCCCAGGAAGGGCAAAGGGGAAGAGGAAGCAGCGAGGAAGAGGAAGCGCGGATGGGCGGGGGGGGCTCAGCTGCTGTCGCCGGGCAGCACCCGCCATTGGAACACGCTCGTGTCCTTCCCGCCCAGCGACACCAGGTGCCCGTCGTCGTGCGTGAAGCGCACGTTGGTCACGTGGCTGCCGTGCCCGCCGTACACGTGACTGGGCGCCTGTGAGGGAGGGGTCGCGTGTGACGTCACAAATT